TTTGGGGTTTAGGGTTTAGGGTTTAGGGTTTAGGGTTTAGGGTTTGGGGATTGGGGCTTAGGGTTTAGGGGTTAGGGTTTAGGGTTTAGGGTTTAGGGAGACCTTGTGTGGAGACCTGGGCAAAAACATTCGAACTGAAAATGCCTGCATGGTAGGCAGTCCTGGATATGTTTCCGAGAGCACGGGCACACTCCACCAATGCCTCCTGGGCTATTCTTGGGTGTCCTCTAAAGATCAGGACTAGGGCCTAGGGCTTTTGGGTGTTTGGGCTTAGTGTGTGTTGGTTGTATGGTTTTTGATTCGGCTTGTTTCCTTCTAAAGAACTCAGCATAAACCATACCAAAAACAAAAAAACCCTGAACCCTAAACCNNACCCTAAACCCTAAACCTTTCGAAACCGGCAGAGCTTCCACGTTGTAGGATTCCAAGAGCATCGGCTGCATCAGCTGGCAGAGTAGCCGCTTCTTCCTGGGATCCCCAGGGTACCCCTGGTTTAGGTTTAGGGTTTAGGGTTTAGGGTACCCCGAATGAGAACAAGCATGACTACTAATGTAGGGGGCTTTATAATTAGAATAGGGTTTGGGGGGGTTCCTTTAAAGGGTTCTCTATAAGGGCTACTATAAGGGTTTAGGGTGTAGGGGTCTTTATGATTAGAATAGGGTTTTGGGACCCATTATGCTACAGAGGGAACCCCCAAAATTAGTATTGGTAATTATTTAGGCCCCTAGATTACACATTGCGACGACAGCCACTTCAAAATGCACATGGGTAGTTCTTTAAGTTAGGGACTTTTTTACGTCTCCAACACTGTACGGCACCCTTATTTACAAAAAAAAGAGCCGAAAGGTCGCTCTAGTTTAAAAAACCACCCACATTGGTCAAAGTGTACTCGAGGATAACCGAGGCTCCCTGGCGACAGAAGCAAGTTCTGCTCAGATTCGTGGAAGGTCAGGTTTGTAACCTGAGCCCGAGACCCTTAACCCTAAACTAGAACCTAAAACCCAACTAGACCCTAAACCCTAAACTAACCCCTGCACCATGCCCCTGCAGCCTGCACAAACCTACAGAACCCTAAACCCTACACCCCAAACGCTAAACGCGAAAGCCATGATCTCTAAACCCTACTTGGAGGATCATGGGACTTAGTAACTAGGGTGATAAATAAGGTAACTATGAATAATTATAACCCCAATTAAGGTAGTTATAACCTTACCTACTAAGTCCCCATGATCCTCCAAGTAAACTTGAACCCCAAACCCAATCCTGCGACTCCCTTACGCTCAGAAGCTTCTCACCGTCAGCCCATGTCACATGTGTGGGTTTAGGGTTTAGGGTAGGAACCAACTGAGAAAAAACTCTAAGGTGCTTGTCACTGCGGAGATCCGAGGGCAGCGCAGCGGCCAGGGCGTTCAAGACCAGCTCCTTTCAGTGTTCCCTAAACCCTACACACTATAAGCCCCAAACACCCCAAATCCCAAACCCTACAAACCCGAAACACCCTAAACCCTGAACCCTAAACCCTCAACACCCTGACCCCTAAACCCTAAACCCTAAAGCTCAGGGGGTTTCGGATCGGGGTCTTCGGCTTTAGGGTTGGAGGTTCGAAGTGCACCCAGAGAACCCAATACCCCTTAATTAAGGAATATGCCTTAAATCACAACCTTAAGGCCCCCATAACTTCAGGTATATTCCTTAATTAAGCTGTATTGGGTTCTCTGGGCAGATTTCCAGTTTGGCAGCTTGAGGGTTTGGGTTTAAGGCTTCAGGTTTAGGATTTAGGGTTCAGGGCTTAGGGTTTAGGGTTCAGGGTTGAGGTTTTGGGTCCAAGGTTTACGGCTTTGTGGCTTTGGGCTTTGAACCGAACGAACTCAACCGTCAGCTATCAACCTTGAACCTGAGCGCAGCATAGCTCCTCGCTGTTCACAATGCTCTTCGTGCTCAAAATGCCGAGCAGAGTGTCCACCACGCTTCCAGTGGATGCCAACGTCACACCTCGAGATTGGGGCCCTCAACCCTCAACCCTAAACCCTCAACCCTAAACCCTCAACCCTGAACCCTCAACCCTAAACCCTAAACCCTACCGACCCATTCCTCAATCCCAACAAACAAACCCTATTCCCTGAAGCCATAAGCCCAAAACCTGAAGCCCAAACCCCTAAACTTAAACCCTAATGTAGGAGCCTTCATCATCAGAATTTTAATAGAGCTTTGGGGTATGTTATACTATAATAGAATAAGGAACCCAGAATAGTACTGGTAATTATTTTGGCTTCTTCCTATATTACCGCCCAAGCCCAAGAACACAACCCTAAACCCTAAACCCTGAACCCTTTTGGCCAGCCTGCATCCCTGCTGATCGTCAGGTTCGCTACCAGCCGGACCAGCTTCACTAAACACTCCTCGAACACTCCAAACAGGGTTTAGGGTTTAGGGTTTGGGGTTTAGGGTTTAGGGTTTAGGGTTTAGGGTTTGGGGAGCACTCAAAAACCCTAAACCCTGAACCTTGAAGCCCTAAACTCCAAACCCCTAAACCCTAAACCCCTAAACCAAACAACCCCTAAACCCCTGAACTCTAAATCCCTAAACCCTAAACCCCTAAACTCTAAATCCCTAAACCCTAGAACCCTGGAACCCTAAACCCTAAACCCGGAACCCTAAACCCTAAACCCTGAACCCCAACACCCCTCGACCCTAAATCCCTGAGCACCTTTAACCCTCTGATCTGGGCTCTTGTAAAGAAACTTACAAGAACATGTTCCAGGATGTTTTAGGGTTTAGGGCTTAGGGTAAGGGCTTTCTACGGTGTCCATAGGTTTGCTCAGGGTTTCGGGCTTAAGGCCTCTTTAGGGTTTTAGGGTTTAGGGTTTAGGGTTTAGGGTTTAGGGTTTAGGGTTAAGTCTTTCTAGCTTCTTGTCAGAGAAGTTAAGTTCAAGAGTTCACCGGACATGCATGTGTGTGGCTTCGTGTCACCGTGCTTATAGGGTTTGGGGATTCAGGGTTTAGGGTTTGTAGGGGTTCTTCAAGTGGAGCGAAACCTAGTCTAGAATACCATAAGATGGTATTAACAATACGGTACAATGCATTGACAGAACCCAGTTGAAGCGTGAGAAGAAAGAACTTGCATGCTTGTTACAATAATTAGAATGAAAACAAGAACCTTCATGCAACAAGAACTTCTCTGGAAAAAACTGAACTCGACAAAACCTTCCTCGCACTCCGCGACGGCCGTCCCATCCATTGCTGCAGCAGCCTGGCTGCACTGGAGGCTCTTGGGACGTAGTAAGTACAGGTATATATGGGTAGTTCACTAAATTAGGGTCCCTTTAGAATCCCCAATATAGTACGGCACCCTTATAAAAAGGACCCCAAAAGGGACACTAATTTAGAGAACCACACATATGAGTACCTTAGCTGGGGGTAGAACTACCTATAAGCATAGCTACCTTACTTATAACCCTGGTTATTAGATCCAATGATCCGTTACGCATGCTTCGGGCTTCCAAGACTTCGGATGTGATGGGTCATAAGGGGTTCCACAAGGAGTTCATAAAAAGGGGGGTGTCAGGGTTTAGGGTTGAGGGCATCAGGGTTGAAGGTCTAGACCTCTAGAACACGAAAACCCTGAACCCATATCAACCTACACAGTAGCCATAAAACCCTAAACCCAATCTCCCTCAGGGGTTTCGGGCTTGGGCCAAAAACTCGCGGTTTTCCTTTGGGGGCTATGATGTCAGATTCTCTTTCGTGTTAGGCAGCCGACCATAGCCAGAGCCCTACAGAGTATACAATAAAGGTACCTGTTTTCCTTTTGTTCCCTAAACCCTAAACCCTAAACCCTAAACCCTAAACCCTAAAAGGGTTTGTGCATGTCTCTTGGTCTTAAAGGTTAAGGCCGAAGAGCCGGAGCTTGATTGTTTAGGGTTTAGGGTTTAGG